AAAACACCAATTAAAAATTATACAATGTAAGTCTATGGGAAAACAAGATTTGACTTGGGGACAATCCGACATAGGGACACTCTTGATGCACCAATTATGTCCGCATCTGGGGGTCTCACTGTACTATAATTGTTTTAATCTGATAGATACTTTTTTTTTGCAGGCTATGAGTCCAAGAATTGGACCAGGTCTGGGCCAGCTTCAGTCAACTTTGTTGAAGAATTGCCCCCAATTATTTTGAAAACTGCTGGCAACAAGGGTTATGTGACTCTTTTCTATGAAGACATGCATGGAGTTGAAGCTTTTGATACAGTCTTTGGTTGTCGTCCTGTGTTGAACTTTAGACACCCACCTGCCAATTACTATTCTAGACCTTACATGGTGAACAGGGGTGAAACCACCACACAAAGTTTTCCTGAATGCTATGGTTCCATAACAGCCAATCAGGTAAGGCCTGCTTCAAGGTTATAAACAGTTTAGGTTCATGTCATTTCATGTATGGATTATCAAACAAGCAATAAACAGAGGGAATATTTACAGTAAAATCTTGTTACAACAAACTTGCGGGAACTTCAAACAAAGTTTGTTGCAGCAAATAATTTGTTATGAGATTTTCAAAATTATTGAATGGGAAGATTGGTTTGCATTAAACCTGAATACAGTCAACCCCTGTCTAACGGACTTGATTTGTGCAAGGGACAAGTCTGTTAGACAAAAAGTCCTTTACACAAATTCAATTACATAAAAAATTAAAAATTTCAATTTTCAACACTAATTTTAAACCAAAAGAAGTCTGTTTGGCAGATTTTGTCTGTTGGGCGGGAGGAAAAACTGCTTGCAGAGCTGGTCTGTTTGGCAAAAATCCCTTACACGGGAGGTCTGTTAGGCGGGGGGCCACTGTATATTCAAGATGTTCCTTTTGTGACCTTTTCAGATGTTTTTTATTTTTGAAAAACTGAGCTTCAAAACTGAATTTTAATGTGAATAAGAAACACATACTCTGAATAACAGATGAACATCAGCACTTTTTGTGGACTTTAAATTTTTCTAAACAATTCCTGCACAGATTTATGTATGGGTGGATGCTTCAAAAAAGCACAGTTGTTGAGCATCAGTAGGGGGTTTCAAGCATACAAAATCCCCTTCAACATGAGATTTGCTGAGTTCATTTAAATACCCCTCACCCCTCTGTCTTTTCTAGCCCAGGAAACAATTTTGGAAAGAAGGCTCTTCCCATTAATTTTAAAGAATTTTTTCCTCGATTCAACCTTCCATTTATGTCCCAAGAACCAGTCACATTCAAATTTTTAACAGGAAATTTGAGACTCTGCCTTCATTAAGGATTTTCCATCAGTAAAATCACATGTTCCCTCAAATAAATGTGTTGTACTAGAATTGGAGAGTTTATTATAACAAGATTTTTGTAACATGTACAAAATCTTAGGATTTCTGCCAGGACTTGGAAAAAAGTTTGTTGTACTGAAAATTTTATAGAAGCAGTTTTTGTTGTAACAGTATATATTTGTTCTAACAGATGGATTTTTCTGTATAAACAATTATATTTTGCATTCCAATGAAAACCTGTTAAACCAAAATAGCAGCAATTATAGATTTTTTGAACATCTAGCAGTTCAGCTTAGAATACTGTATAGCTTGTTTCTAACCAAAAAGCAAGAAACAAGTACTGTACACATAATCCTAAACAGTTAACTCTAAATGTCCCTGTCTCAAAATTGTCCCTATACTGCATATCTAAATGACCTTGTCTCAAATTGGCCCTGTCTCAAATTTTACCTGTCCCAAATTGCCCCTGCCTCAAATCAGCAAAATCTCAAATAGTCTATCTCTAATTTTTAGTCCCTAATTTTATGTCTCAAATTGTCTATATCCCTATAATACATACTATCAAACTACTGTAATAAGAATTATGCTCAGCACTGATAATTATAGTCCCCTCATGAAAAATGACAAATTAGTGAGATGTCAAAGAATGTAAAATGTCAGCAAGTTTAATTTTCAACTTTTGCAAAGACAACCACTTTGAAAGAAGGCTTTTAAAAAACCTGGTATAAGCCACTGACTTTCTTCTGATTTGTTTTTTGTTTTTGGAAAAACCTTTCTTATTGTTAGCATGCACAACAATATGTGAAGCATATGTGGAGCCTTCATGAAGACAAACTGAAGTTCTACTATAACTTGGAGGTGGGTTTCACTCATTCACACCTGACTAAAATCTCAAAGCTGGATGATGAAATTCTGGATTTTTACACAAATTTTGTCAATGCGGCCTCATTGAGGAACAACACTGCCATTTTCATCACATCAGATCACGGAAATAATTATGATTTAGTACCGGATAGCCCAATAGCCAACACTGAAAAAAGCCTTCCACTCTTGTATCTGCTCCTGCCAGAATGGATGGATTCAAAGTATCCCAATGAAATGAGAAACTTGAGATTTAATGCTCATAAAAGGATGACTACGTCATACGACACCCATTCCACTATCAAACACTTGATGGATTTCCGCAAAAATGCCAACTTTGCTTCACAGCATGGACAAAGTTTGTTCACGATTATTCCACCCGGAAGAACTTGTCAAAGTGTTTCAACTCCACATCAGTTTTGCACTTGCTTGGTGGAAGTACCATTACTGGACTCAGATGAAAATGTTGAATGGTTAGGGAAGACTGTCTTGGAAACAGTGCTGAATTTGTTGAGAGACATATGTCGTCGCCTCTTTGGGAAATCAAAATTTAAGTTGGGAGGAAAATTCTCTGCCTTTTTGGCGTGGAATACAGTAGTTGAGAAGCAAAGATTGCTCAATGATTTCTGCAATGGAAGATCAGACTGGATTTTTCAAAAATTCCTGCACGCCAAAGGGTGGATGCCTGCTGGAGGAAAAGGTGTTCTTTTTCATACCAAAGAAATAAGCCCTTTATCAATTTAAATCATGATACTTATTTGCAGAAACACCTCATGTGGCTAACATTTCATCCCTTATTTTCGTTGAATATGTGGCGCAGCTCTCAGGGGTTGAAAATCCCAAAATTGCATATGTGATACAATATAATCGCTATGGAGAAAGGGAGCTACAGGTAAATCAATCACACTATTTTCAACTATAAATTGATTCATAGAACTGTCTTTTTTTTTTAAAGGAAAATACTGTACAAGTTATGATTGGGGACCAGATTGCAGGAAACCCAAAGCCATGAACTCCAATATGGTCAAACTGTTTTTGGATGGGCATTTGCACATTCTGCTCTGCTCACTTTGTAAAAGTTGCACTTTTGCATCCACTCCAAAAATCTACACCTTAAACTCTGATCAAAGATTTTCTCTTTTTGATAATTCCACCCGGTAAAGGAATTTATTAATAAATTGCAAGGCTTATCCCAAGGATTTTCTGATCATCACTCAATAATCAACATTAGCTTCCAAGGCATAACTAATGACCTTTACAAGAGCTGTCAAAAGAAAAAAATTAAGCTCACCCCTGAGTGCCTTTGCTTATTCAGGATTGCGCATGGAAAATTACTACATTCAACGCGCAAATATTGATAAAATTAATGCATCACAGGTGCAACATAATGACACATGAGGACTGTGCTAAAATGGGACTTGCTCCAATGCTGTAAAAATGACAGGCTTTTTTGCCTCTGAAGAGAAATAAAAGGCGAAGTTTTTCCTCCTGAGAATCTTAGAATTTCTCTTTGTGTTGAACATACAAAATGTGTGCTGCTTGGGTTGCTCCTCAAAACCTAGAAGAAGGATCAATTCAGAAAAATTTAGAAGCACCCAAAATTTCCAAACGCTTTGGAAGAGACATCTGGTTCAAATCTGTCAAACCATGGATTTCTGCTGTGATCTGCAGTGGGTTTTTCTACATGTCAGCTGTGCAGGTTATTAGAAATAAATGATCAATTGAATTCATACTCCATCCGCACTGTTGATTCTTGTGTCTCCAGTCTGTCAGCTATGTTTCAAAGTATTTAAGTGGACCAATAAACACAATCATGACCCTGGAGACCATCTCAAAGGCTGATGTTCCATGGATCACAATTTGCCCTGGCCCTGGAATAAATTTCACTGCTCTGGACTGGTACTACATGAATTATCCTCCAATCAACTACACTATTAAATATGAGTCAGCTTCAGAAAAGAAGTATTTTACATATGATGGAATTACAACACATTCCTTGGGAGCATTGCCAAAATCAAGCAACAAAACAATGGCTCAGTTCTTGGATGAGGTCATGATGCCACTCTGGAAGTTCCAATGGACCTGTCAGATCACTGCTCAAGAAACAGACAAAATCTATGACTGCGGATTTCCTTTTGGTAAGCAAATCTATCATTTTCAAGCAGAAAATATTATATTATACAATAGTATGTTCTCTTTTGTTTTTGTCATTGGTTTGTGCTTTGTTTCATGCTTTGAAGTGATTGAATGTCTTTGGGGGAAGTTGGGTTGGGTGGGGGTTTGGATGCAGGAGTCTTGGTTGTGCCTTGTGAACGCTGAAAAGCGGCAAATAAAGTGTTCTGTTCTTTCATTCATTCATACAATTGTTTAATCAAAATCTTTAGCTGTCAAGAAATTGCTCTTCACAACTCCAGGGAAACCTATGGTGCATCACACCCCAATGGGAGTTTGGAAGACAGAATTGATTGCCTTTTCAAGACAGATCCCTGACCTTTCTTTGACCCCTTGCAGCACCTTTCAACCCAACTTCACATTAACAGCTGGGGTCACAAGGATTGACTTCAAATATGCTATTACATTGGGATCCTTCTACAACATTAAGCATGAGTATGTACAAATAATCATCAAGACAAAACCTACTACATTTGATGGTTTCTTTTTGTCAATCTACTGCAGTAAGCTGAAGTACTTCGCCCACAAACCAGCAGGTATGCCCACATTCAAGGTGTTCATCAACCAGCAGCATGAAAAGTTGGATGAATACCACTTCTTGGCTAAAAAAGAAGAAGTTGTCAGGGTGGAAATTGGCACAGGATCTCTTATTGAGCTCAGTGCAATTGACAAGTATGAGTTCCTCAACACTGAGTCAAACCACTGCTTGAATGATGAGGGAGAAATCCGGATGGTCATGGATGTGAGTTACTTCTCAATGTGAAGGAGTTTGTTCAAAAGTTTGATCTGTGATTTGCCATCTATTGAAGTCTTTCTCAAGGTATAAAAATAATTTATGCACATATTTTTGATCAATCTTGATCATGTTTGTTCCAATTTTGGTCAACTGGGTAAAATGGAAAAAGAGGCTGGAATATCATTTCAATACATAGAAAATAATTCACCTACTACATTTTCAAATACTGAAGATATTTTATAAAATATCCAAAATACAGTAGAATATTTTCAAAGCAAATTATTTTTAAGGTCACTGCAATCAAACAAAATGTTACTTGTGTCCCAATATCAATTTTTTTGTTAAAAAAAGGTTTCTTCCAAGTTTCAATAATGACTTTGTTTTGCAGTGATTCTACTAGAATTTTACACTCTTCTTGACTGCATATTTCACAATTGCATGAATGAATGAACAGAAAACTTTATTCGCCGCTTTTCAGCGTTCACAAGGCACAACCAAGACTCCCGCATCCAAACCCCCTCCCCATTCATTCACAATTGCATTCACACAGAAAGAGCTCAATGTATTTTTGTTTATAATGAGAATTAAAAAGTCCTTTTGGTAAATTGCACCTTTGAAATTTTGAATTTAATTTTGGAGAATTATTCTGATGAAGAAACTTTTGTGATCTAGTGATTTAATTTCCAGGCACTGGCTCATCATTTTTTTTACTTTTTTACTTTGTTGACTTGCACAAAGTGGTCTTTAATGAATATAGTCAATGTTTTCTTGCCTGCTAATTCAATATTTGTCAGGAATTTGAATCTGTCTTCTCCCAACAGTGTCGCACCAAGTGCTTGGAAACAACCTTCCTCAAAGACACATGCAGATTGCAAGGGTACAGGAATGGATCAGAAAACCAACTGCCTCCAGTCTGCACAACTTCAGCAGATTTTGAAAATTTTCTTCACAAAAACTGGACCACTGAGGGTGTGGCAGAATTTGCAGCTTGCAAAGAAGCTTGTTCTGAAAACTGCATGCGCATTGACTACAATCTGAGAACCACCTCTGTTGAAGCAGAAGTCAACACCCAAGTCACCAACTACAGCACCATTGGACAAGACTTCAGCATTAGATTGGCCAAAGCACTCACACTGTATGTAAAATCCCCTTATGCAAAACTGGTGAGGCAAGAGTATGCTTACACATTTGACCAATTGATTGGGGAGCTGGGAGGGTCCTGGGGATTGTTCCTTGGACTCTCTGTCTTGTCTGTCCTCACATTCTTTGAGGGATTATTCTTGAAGTTTTTTTGAGTCAAAAAAAAACATTTTATGACATTCCACACACACATATGTATAATCTCACTTCTTGAAGAAGATCTCAGACTCTGGACTCTGGATTTTCTCTGGAAATCCATGAAAAAAGCTTGCAGACTTGACTCGTGTTCCAGGATTAATTTGAACACTCATTCTCCCAATGCCAATTCTTTTGGACACCCTGGTGACTTTCCTTGGGTCATCTTCTGCTGTTGGCATCACTCTGCCCCATATCTGCTTGATCACCCCATGTCCAAAGTGTTGCACCAATTGAGCACTGTTCCAGGCCAGCAGAATTTTCAACACTATAGACACAATGTCGCTGAAAATAAATAAAGGCACTAGCCAAAGGTTGTAATTTTTTTGGTGAAATACAGCATCAACACTCACATTATGTTAGTCACTCTGGNCACATTATGTTTGTCACTCTGGTCAAAGGGTCAAATGTATGATGGGGTTTGTTTGAAGAGCGTGATTCATCTATGAAGCCAAGTATTGCAAGTATATTGATACACTTGCTGTATGTATTGCCTTCAGAAAGCCCAGAAAACAGCAGCACAACACTGTTGAGAGATGTTGTTCACATATAATAAATTCCTGAAAATACAATACAGTCAACCCCTGTTAAAAAATTGAAAATTTCAATTTTCAACACTAATTTTAAACCAAAAGAAGTCTGTTTGGTGGATTTTGTCTGTTGAGCAGGAGGAAAAACTGCTTGCAGAGCTGGTCTTTTTGGCAAAAATCCCTTACACGGGAGGTCTGTTAGGCAGGGGGCCACTGTATTTGTTGAACTCACAAGATTTTGATGTATTGAAGAAAGCCAAGAGTGATATCAAAGGCCTTGAGGTAATTCATCACCAGAAACAAAGCTGATGCTCCACTCACAGGCTGACTCAGCAGCATACAAAGAATGAAAGTCAATTGAGATGTTTTCAGCATCTTTGACTGCTTCCTTTTGGACAATATTGAAATGACCACAACAAACTCAGTCCTCCTGTTCATACAAACAGTCCATAAAAACAAATCTGACACAAAATGAGAATAAAATAACTCACGATCTGACAAATAATGTGGATATGATAATCAGTTTCACATATAAAAAGGCATCCCTGAAAGGACTTTCAGTCTTCCTCAAATAAGCTGTTGTAGGTATGATCATTGCCAGTGCCAAAATGGCGCAAGTACAGCAGGGAACCATAATCAAGTAAAAATACCCTGGACCGGATGAATCAGATGGGATACTTGTCAAGACAGTCTTCAGCATAATTGATGATGATGTGAATGGCAAGAAACTAAACAAAAAGCCCTTTTTTCATACAGAACTCAAAACAGTGAAAAGGAGTCAAACTAACTTGAAAGCTTTCACAGAAATGACCAACCAAATGCTGGTGAGCTCCAAGAAGAAGCGTTTCAGTAATGGTGCATAAGCTTCTGCCAATCTCACAGCATATCCCATCAAAAATGCAAACATCATCAAACCTGAAAAAAAATCATTCCTCTTGCATTCATAGTAAATCAACAAAATTGTCATCAGTGACTCAACTGAATGATGAAGAGGGGAAATACCCAAATTCTGCAAAGAACCTTGGTCCTTCATGGCCCCAATGAACATTTTGTGTTGGGTCATCATAATAATCTTTAGACAGCCTCATGTGAACTTGCAACTTCACACTCACCAGTCTTAGAGCATTCCATTCTGTGGCATTCCTTTGAAGTTGAATCATTTTTGGAATGTCAATGACAAATGTTGAAGAAGGCTTTGAGACTAGGACTGCATCATGATAAAACCACAAAAAAGCTGATAATCTCAGAGAAAAGTTCCTTAATCCACACAATTGCTTAATAGCCTAAGCACAGCTTTTATTTAATATGTTACAATTTTTTCACCAAACATTCAAAATTACAGATAAACATTGATAAACAATAATATTTTAAAAATGGACAAGTCACTTGGTATTATCCAGTAATATTGAAAATTCAGTTGTCCAACTTATTGATTGAATAAACTTACATGTTTAATTCAAATTTGACTATAATTTGATTATAAAATAAGTCATAATTTACAAGTTCATTTTTCTGTTGCAAAAGGAAGTACAATTTTCTCCACATACTTTTTCATATGCTGCCAACAAAGTAGACCTTCAATTAAAGATTAAAATTTCACTGAATGCTGCAACATTCTTGTATACCCTCTGATACATTCAACCTGATTTTAAAATTTAAAATTATACAGTAAATACAACTTTTGATATTAGACATCAGATCAATTTCATAAGCAGACTTGAACCATTATGGATGAAAAATGTCCAAAGATGAACATAGCAAAAAATACTGACCTGACCAAACTATCCAGAACTAAAGGAAACATGAAATGGAACTTTTCTGGAAGACTTTTCAGGTATGCCCGCAGGGCTGGATCATTCACAACGTTTTCACCAAGTTCCTGATTCACTAATGGTTGAAGTGTCGCTGTTGACAATTTGAAAGCAAGGAACATTGCCAGCAGGAAAATCACATTGATCACAACAATGGTGGTCACCACTGCTAAAAACAGTCTGCTGATGCGTTTCAGGCTTGTCTCCGCAATCACTGTCATTTCAATAAAATTCAACATGACAACTTTGACATTTCAGAAATCAGAATTCAGGTGACCAACTTTTGACCATGTAAGCAGCAAGTATCCCTTGTGCAATGAAGCCATAAAAAGACACTGTAACATCCCCAGGCAATGTGAGGAGTGCTGCAACTGTTGACCACCAGGTGGCAGCTTTTGTCAAAGCTTTGGTGTTATGTCCACCAAGAAAGAAGGAGTCTGGTCTCCCCAGGAACTCACCAGACACAAACGTCCCATTCTCAATTACATTGTTTTCTGGGAAGTGTTCTTTTAAGAAGACTCCAAGAATGGCACCATGGACAACCCCAATAACAATGAGAAGCCACTTGTGTGAGGCCACCAGTGCTTTTATAATCTTGAAGAAGAAGAGCTTGCATATTATAAAATCCTCATAAAGGCTTTATGTAGTTTATTGGGTATGAGGAATAGTTCAAAGGTGTGGTCAGAACAGTATTTATAAATTTAGTTTCTCCTCTATCCAAGTTTTCAAATCAGATATACAGCAAGACTCACACATGCAGACACATTGACATGCAGACAATTTGACCTAGGACACTTATTATCCTATAAAAAAAGGCCCAACTTCCAGACACTGACTCAGGACACAGATATTAATTGCTAAAATGGCAAATAAGTTTCAGGCCAAATTACAAGAAACAAATATTTCTAATGCTAAGGTCTATATAAGAAACGTTCTTTGCCATTTCTCTAATAATTGTCTTATCTACCGTATTTACTCGAGTACCACACTCACCTTTTTCTCCAAATTTCAGAAGAAAATAAGGGGTGCATGTCATAAGTGGGTACAGAATTTTCAAGTGGTTTTAAAAGTTATGTATGCATTATACTTAATTATAATGGAGAAATTTGGAACAAATATAACAAGAAAACATTTTTGTATTGAAAAAGTTGAAAATTGATCAGATTTTTGTTCAATTCATGCCTAAAGTCAAATTTTTTGTTTTTATTTTGAAATTTTATGGTTGTAGATTGAGGCCTACAGATGTGGACATGAACAGAGCATCAATTCATGCCTAAAGTCAAATTTTTTGTTTTTATTTTGAAATTTTATGGTTGTAGATTCACTAAAAATTGGGGTGCGCATCTTACTTGGGGATAAGATTTTTTCAAAATTTTCAACTGAAAAACCCCTGTGCATGCCTTACTTGAGGGCGCGTGGTACTCAAGTAAATACGGTATTTAGCTACTTTGAAAAATACCTCCAGCATAGAGAGACTTCCTTCTCTACTTTTACCTTGAATTTTATTTTTACAGAGAATGCACAAAATTTCATTGCACTGTACAGAGGTACAGTAATCAATGCTCCAATTGTCTTTATTGAGTTGAAAGATTTGGATTGAATCAGTTTCAATTGGCACACAATTTTTTCTAAGTGTTCATGGAATTCTGATGAATATTTCTTCCATAAAATACAAATTAAAAGTATGCGATGTAAGTAACTTGATTTGGAGACATTTTGACTTTGGGACACTCTTGATGCTCTGTTCATGTCCACATCTGTAGGCCTCACTGTATTCAAATAATTGATTAGAGTCCAGCATTAACAAGATGTAAGCTAAGTCTTTGCTCATTTTCTCTGTATGAGAAATGTCATACATTGGCGGTCCTGAGTCTCCTGACTTCTGCACCATCAGACTCTTCAGGACAACCTTTAAAATCTGTCACACAAAAATTGCAAAGATCAGGTTACAGTTCACCTTTGGTGTAGTGCCATTATCCCTTATTGATGTAAATTCCTTGATGCATAGCAAGGATGGCATGTACCAAATATCAGTTTGTGACAGTGTATCAGTGAATGTGAGGTTGGATCAACATTGGGAACACTAAATTGAAGTTAAACTCAATTTTCATTTTTAGAAATTGGTTAAAACATCCACAAGTTACTGCCAATATAACAACATGCTTCCATTTTATAAGAAGTGTATCACAATAATTGCTTTATTTTAAATACAAAGAACATGAAAATATGGCAGATATAAAATATTGCTCCCAGTGATGTCAGGCAAATTCACTCTGAGCATTCCAATTCAAGTGTACACTCTTGATGCTCTGTTCATGTCCACATCTGTAGGCCTCACTGTATTCAAATAATTGATTAGAGTCCAGCATTAACAAGATGTAAGCTAAGTCTTTGCTCATTTTCTCTGTATGAGAAATGTCATGCATTGGCGGTCCTGAGTCTCCTGACTTCTGCACCATCAGACTCTTCAGGACAACCTCTAAAATCTGTCACACAAAAATTGCAAAGATCAGGTTACAGTTCACCTTTGGTGTAGTGCCATTATCCCTTATTAATGTAAATTCCTTGATGCATAGCAAGGATGGCATGTACCAAATATCAGTTTGTGACAGTGCATCAGTGAATGTGAGGTTGGATCAACATTGGGAACACTAAATTGAAGTTAAACTCAATTTTCATTTTCAGAAATTGGTTAAAACACCCAGGTTACTGCCAATATAACAACATGCTTCAATTTTATAAGAAGTGTATCACAATAATTGCTTTATTTTAAATACAAAGAACATGAAAATATGGCAGATATAAAATATTGCTCCCAGTGATGTCAGGCAAATTCACTCTGAGCATTCCAATTCAAGTGAACAAACAATGTGAAAATTATATGAGAAAATGGTTCAATTGTATCCATGCCAACCCATCTGATAAAATCCAACCAATATGGGGAAGAAGAAATGTACAAAAAACGGATGAGTCAACCCTAATATTCCACTCACTCTCCTTGAGATTCTGGATGCATCAAGCTTGTCAGTGAAGGTCACTTGCGATTGACTTTGATTAATATTTGAAGTAAGATCACTGAGGATTCCATCATTCTTGTCTGACAATGTCTGGGATTCCTCTGATGATTTCCTGTCAACCATATTTATTCAACTCCAGGCAGAATAATGTATAGGTAATTATCCGTAAACCGTTGGCTTTTCAGAAAAACACATACTCAAGCATATGCCGCTTTATTCACAGAAACTTCAACCCAGATAAACCCGCAGTTTTCTTGCCTGAATGTAAAACCCTTGCAAAATTCTCGCAGGAACCAGAGGAAAAGTCTCCAGATTGACAAAATTCAGCAAGACTCCAATAACTGTAGGAATCACTGATGTGGGGAAAGACATAAATAAATTTACAGACCAATATATATGGCAACACTGAGCATCACTCACCAGCAAGCCCAAACACAATCACAGCAATCGAAAACAGCAAATCCGAATCATCCCTTATGAATTTCGGGGGCTTCTTCTTCAACTTTTGTCTCGTTTTTTGTGGCAGTCCAGCAGGTTTGGAAGTTGAAGTCAAATTGGCCACAAGTTCTTTGGCAGCCTTTTCTGCAACATCTCTCCAATGACGAAACACAAAAGAAATCACTGTGACATCAACGTTTTTTTTTTTTGTACACTTGTGAACTTACTGAAGCATCTTGTTGAAGATTTTCTCCATGGCTTTTTCCAAAAAGAAGTCAAAGTCAGAATTTTTTTGATCTTCTGGCAAAACAAGATCTTGGACTTTTTCTGGATGCATCAAGCTTGTCAGTGAAGGTCACTTGCGATTGACTTTGATTAATATTTGAAGTAAGATCACTGAGGATTCCATCATTCTTGTCTGACAATGTCTGGGATTCCTCTGATGATTTCCTGCTGTCAACCATATTTATTCAACTCCAGGCAGAATAATGTATAGGTAATTATCCATAAACCGTTGGCTTTTCAGAAAAACACATACACAAGCATATGCCGCTTTATTCACAGAAACTTCAACCCAGATAAACCCGCAGTTTTCTTGCCTGAATGTAAAACCCTTGCAAAATTCTCGCAGGGACCAGAGGAAAAGTCTCCAGATTGACAAAATTCAGCAAGACTCCGATAACTGTAGGAATCACTGATGTGGGGAAAGACATAAATAAATTTTACAGACCAATAAATGGCAACACTGAGCATCACTCACCAGCAAGCCCAAACACAATCACAGCAATTGAAAACAGCAAATCCGAATCATCCCTTATGAATTTCGGGGGCTTCTTCTTCAACTTTTGTCTCGTTTTTTGTGGCAGTCCAGCAGGTTTGGAAGTTGAAGTCAAATTGGCCACAAGTTCTTTGGCTGCATTTTCTGCAACATCTCTCCAATGACGAAACACAAAAGAAATCACTGTGACATCAACGTTTTTTTTTTTGTACACTTGTGAACTTACTGAAGCATCTTGTTGAAGATTTTCTCCATGGCTTTTTCCAAAAAGAAGTCAAAGTCAGAATTTTTTTGATCTTCTGGCAAAACAAGATCTTGGACTTTGTGAACCTCTGGAAAGATTATTGGCACAGGGTTTGGGCCTTGATCACTGATGAAATTAATGGGAAATGAGGCCATGGCTCAAAAAATTGTGCAACAGCATTTTATCACAATATTTGGTAACCTGCACAGGAAATTTCACACAAGATGTCATAAAATACTTTCAAATATTAGTATTGCCAATTTATCACTCAAAAAATTGAGAAAAAAGAGCAAATGGTTCCAAAAATAGTGGAACAGGATTCTGTCACAAATATGACATTCTGCAAAGAAATATACAATCATTTGACAAAGTTCATTCAAGTTCATAAATATTCAACAGAGAGGGAGTATGAAATAATAAAATAATTGGTAAATTATCGTTTTTGGTTGATAAAATTTGAGCTCATGGTTACAAAATTTCTGCATCAGATTTTGAATTTTTAAAATGTCTGCTAAAATTGAATACAGTCCTCGACATGAATAATAATTTTAAATAATCATTAAAAACGGTGTTTGTGACCACAGTAACACAGTTAATAAAAATAAATGAAAATAATTGCAACAAAACTGTAAAAAGGAAACTGAGCTCTCAACAGGAAGGAAGTCAAAATATTACTGACTTGCTTGAAACAGTCTTCAAAGAATTCATACAATTTTCCTTCTTTCAACAGTGTGGACAAAGATGGATTGAGGAATGTTTGTTGGATCATGACACTCTCAAAACAAAGCCAAAAATGTAGTGTTTTTCCTCTTATGTTCCCTGGCATTGTTTTTGCCCTGAAATGCATCAAAAGATGACAGCAAATCTCTTTGGAATGGTTCTGTTGTGACACTGAGCTGTCCTCAATTTTTAACTGCATTTCAAAATTGGAAGAAGAAGGAATTGTAGGATTTATTTGGCCCCAGTTGGTTTTGAACCAGCACCAGATGTGTGTGGCTTGACTTTTGTGACCAATAAAAAAAAGAATGACTGTACAATTTGTAATGGCTCTTATTTTAGCTGTTACATCTGGTTCTCAAGAAACAATTGAACCAGAGATTTCAAGAAAACCAAGACAGCAGTGGTTTGTGATCCCTTCTGCTCAACTTGACAGCATTTTCAATCCAATTCTTCTGTATCCTGGATGGCTGATTCTCTGGTTTTTCAGTGAGTTAAATTCCATTGTATTTTTCCACTTGTAGCCCTGGAATCATCCAAGGGTCAAGTATTTTAATATTTTTTCCAGAAATCAAATGCAGCCTCACCAAAAACAAAAGCTTTCTGCCTTGTTATTAGAAACTGAGAACCAAAACAATTGCTCATCTTAAACATAACCTTTGTTAGAAAACATCTTTTACGTTCACAAATTTTAGATAAAAGTAAAGTACCTGAAAACTAAATAAAAATCTCAACTCACAGCTGAACTATTTATTTGGTTATTTGATTTTACATTGTTGACTGAAGAGCTATTTTTTAGACTACATTCATAGTATGAACATCCCTAAACAATCCTTACAATCAGACTAGATCTATAATTATTCAAACAGAACTTAGTGATTGTTGAGTTTATTATGCAAGAACTTGGATGGTAGAAAATTCTTCATCATGACAATGTTTCAAGTGTGAAAACCATTTTCAAAAAGTTTTGCTGGTGATGTTAGTGTACTTAGTGATGATGATTGTAAAGAATTACAGTGAGACCCCAAGATGCGGATGCAATTTGTGCATCAAGAGTGTCCCTAAGTCAAAATGTCCCCAAGTCGAGTCTCATTTTCCCTTGGACTTACATTACATAATTTTTAACTGGTGTTTCATGTACAAAATACTCACCCTGATTCCATGAAAATAAAAATTGTCTCCCAATTTAAACTGATTCAATCAATGTATTCCAACACAATATGAACATTTGCGGAATTGAATACTGATACATCATCTGTACAGTACATAGAAGTGTTGGCATTTTCTGTAAAAATAAAATTCAAGTGAAAAATAAAGAAGGAATTCTCTCTAAGCTGGAGGTAATTATTTTAAATTAGCTAAATAGATGGTGAATTGGGGAGAGAAATGCCCAAGAACTTTTCTTACATCAATTTTAGGGTTGGAAACATCTGTTTCTTGTAATTTTGCCTGAAATTTATTTGCAATTGTATCACAAAATGTCCCTATGTCGAGTCAATGTCCTCATGTTGAGACTTTTTTGTGATTTTTTGATATTAAAATAAGTGTCCCTAGGTCAAATTGTCCGCAGGTCAAGGCGTCCGCATGTTGGGGTCTCACTGTACAACTTGTTTCATTTCTTGAGCAAAAATCAACACAAGTTGAGGTTTTTGATTTAGGAATACATTTTTAACATTTCAACAGATGCTTTCTTTTAATTCAAGTTTTTTTTACTTATACTGTACCATAAGATTCCTGACAGAAGAACTTTTGTGAAATGATCCTAGTTTCCTTCTACAAAACTGAAAAAAACTTTCCTGGTGATTTGTTTGTGGAATTTATATATTTCCTGGAGTGCAAGTGGTTATTTAGGTTTCAATAAATTTTCATCCGCCATTTATGGAATCTTTCATTTTATTTTTTAATGCTTTGTTCACAGTTGGTCCAGGTTTGGCAGCAATCATCCTGGGTTTCACATACCCATTCTACGAGTACCTCAGAACTGGACACGTGGACTATCACCCAGGGATAATTTTTGACAAGGACTTCTCTGAATACGTCGCCTGGTACTTCAAACACAAAATCTACAAGGAGAAATACTGGAATCTGGATGCCTATCTTCACGACTACTTTCTGGCGCAGAATGAAAAAATGTCTCACTTTTTCACTCCGCAAAATTTGACAACTACGGAACCAGAAATGAAATCGAACGACATGGAAACTGTTTTGGCAGAGGTCATTAAAGACCTGATTATGAAACATCAGTCCTACAACAACAGCAAAAGCGATCAAAATTACGAGGACTTGAGAGACCTGGTGCTGAAAACGGCACTCGAGGAATTCAGCAAATCTTCAGGTTTCTAAATTAAATTTCTCTTTGAAAAATTGCGCATTGAAATATATTTCTAATCCCTGCAGAACCTCGGGAAAATGTGATCGACTCGGACACTTCACCTCAATTTTCTTCAAGGCGTGGCTCAATTAATCTCAAAAGAAGAAGATCAAGACCAAGAAGGCGATTGGCTTCCTTCCGGAAATTCGGCAAGACAAAGAAGCTGAAGGCGAAAAAGTACAAACATTTTCAAAAGAATCCACGTTATTTCCAAGAATAATATCTCGTCTATACCGATAATGCATTGAATTTATGATACAAAAATATACGAGGAATAGTTCAAAATATTCCTGTTAGGAGTATATAGGACCCAAATATCCTTGTTTTAAAACTCAGATTTCCGTGTGTAAGAACGAACCACTCAGGGATCTGTAACTCCTGTAAGACAAATAAAAGCTAATAAACCAAGTCTCAAAATTTTTTGCAGATTTTTGCAAACTGAGGTCTGAAATCGGCAACTCATTGCTCACCGAGTAACATTTGAAAGAAATCCTCGAATCATTATCATCACTAATGCAAAAATTGCCAAAATAAGGGGATTTTTGAAAACGTGAGCAAGATTAGGAACACCTCACAAGATTTTAGGCAAGAAGTATTTTAATGGAATTCTCAAAGATGTTATAACTTTTTCTATGCAGGTATTGTCTAGAAATCCAAATCACGTTGCCTTTGAGTGAATGAAATACACTAACACAGGTGAAATTCTGTTAGGAAAGGAACCACTGAATTCATCACAAAATTTTGCGAAAAGTCCTGGCAGAAACATCATTGTCATACTGTATATGGATAAAATCTTAGTTTCACAAGCATTCAAGATTCATTTTAACAAATTCGGATTTGGTGGTTTTTCATTATTGTTCCCTTGTATTTAAACTACTGTATAAGAATGCATTATCCCCCCCCCCCACAATTTCTTCCTACCTTTGAAGGGGGATTTCTGAGTCAATCCATGTAATATTCAGTGCAAATAGTGCCAATGAATAATACAAGTCTCAAAAAGAAAATGATTGTTTTAGTCAAATGTAATAAATGTTCTGATATGGCATTAAAAACTTTGATTTAAATTCTCAAGATAAAAAAAATAATACTCCAATTTTCTTATTTGACATTTTTTATCCAAAGAAAAATCCCCACTTGTTTACTATCTCCCTTATTGAATTTATTTACAATACACTGAATGTTTCAGATGAAAAAGATAGTACAGTGAGACCCCTGCATGCGGTCACCTTGACATGCAGACAATTGCACATAGGGACACTTATTTTCCCATAAAAAAAAAATTAAAAAGGCCCAACATGGATGAGGACACTGACTCATCATAGGGATATTTTGTGATAAAATTGAAAATAAATTTCAGACCAAATTACAAAAAAATCGATATTTCCAACCCTGATGTAAGAAAAGTTCTTGGGCATTTCTCTCACCAATTTACCATCCATTTCGCAAATTTGAAAAAATTATCTCCAGCATAGAGGAACTTCCTTTTCTCTTTTTTACTTGAATGTTATTCTTTTTACCAAGAATGCCAACATTTCTATATACAGTACTGTACAGAGGTATTAGTATTCAATTCCCCAGATGTCCATATTGTGTTGAAATATATTGATTGAATCAGTTTCAATTGGGTTGGGAGACAATTTTTATTTTCATGGAATTATGGTGAGTATTTTGTCCATAAAACACCAATTAAAAATTACATAATGTAAGTCTAAGGGAAACTGAGATTTGACTTGGAGACACTCTTGGTGCACCAATCACGTCCACATATTGGGGTCTCAGTGTATATGTAGCCCGAGAATAAGAGTCACATGTTCAAAGAAACATACCATTTGGAGCGCGATAAGCTAAATGCTCCATTTCAATAAATAAACCCCTCAAAATGGTGTTAATTCTTCCCCTTTTTATTGTGCATATTTCAACATGTGAGTAAAAATAATGAAATTGAAACGGAAGGAGAAAAAAAAACCCCAAACCGGACGTAAAAAATAAAAGTGGGTTAAAAATTTGCACATCAGCTCACCAGGAATTCTGATTCACCCACTGGGTTGCTGTGCCAAACCGAGTCCTATAGTTTCTCGAGAATATACTTCCGCAAAACAAAAACCTTGCAAACCAATTCTGGTTTGCACACGCCGAACCGACAGGGAAAAATAAATCCAGAAATAAAAAACGCAAACACAAAACAAAACACGTAGATCTGAATAAGTTTCACTCCTTGATACATTCTTTAGAATCATCAGAAACTGCCTTATTCAGGCATTCGTTTTGGTCCCATTCCAGAAAAAGGCGCTGCTGCAGCAGATACACGACACTACATTCAAGCAAAATTGTTTTTTTTTTTTCGTCTAAAACTACTTCAAAAATTTCCCGTTTTGTTTTCTATAGTACATGATTTTCTTTGCTGAATGTTCCAGACGCCGCGCAGATTTCGTCGGACGCCCTCTTTCGAGTGGCGTCTCCGATTGAATCTTGATTCGCGCCAAAGGAGATAGGTGAAATGATTTTCTTGCTTCCGCAAGCAAATTTACAGCAGATGTCCCGTGTTCCCAAGAGGTTAGCCGCATTATCGCCAAAAAACGCTCCCTGCAAAAAAAAACGAAGCGAAATTAAATTACGATCATTATTGTATTTGTCAAAGTAGAAAAAGTTGGACGCCGATTTCCATCAGAGGACTCATTCTTGCTGACATCTATTAGAGGAGAAATGAACTAAACATATTTCGACTTGCACACACGACATCTGTGAAAAACTAATCTAACTAAACTTGACCTAAACAACTACCGAATGAATCCTAAACCTGACCAGCAACCGTAACTTGAACTAACTTCACCAAACTTAGCTTGAAGCTTTGCTACCAGCAGTTGTGACTTGACTAACTAATATAACAGAACTCCCCAATGTAACAAGAATACCCACAAAATCTAACAGGACTATCTAATCCAGAAAGAATATCATTGAACAAAACTACCTAATAATAGAAAACTATTTCATATATGAAAAATACATAAAACAGGAAAACCACCTAGTTTCAGGAAATTATTCTGTCTAAGAAAACTACCTAACCTGAGAAAAAACTAAATCTAAGAAAACTAACTACTCTAAGAAAATATTCAATCTAAGAAAACTACCCAATCTAAGAAAACAACCTAATCCAAGAAAACTAACTAATCCAAGAAAACTAACTAATCTAAGAAAAACTGTAATCCGAGAAAATTACTTAATCTAAGAAAACTAACTAATAACTATGAAAACTAACTAGTATCTAAGAAAACTAAGTAATATCCATGAAAACTAACTAATCTAAGAAAACTGCCATATATAAGAAAATACCTATAATCTAAGAAAACTACTTGATACAAATACCAGTTGAAACTCAGCTAACTAATCTAACAGTACTACCTTGTGAAGCATAACTTTCAAATCTAAGAGAACTACCACTAACTGATCCATAATTCCCATCTGATTATACAAAGTACTGATAGAAAAACCCACATAACATTAGATAATCATAAAATACTGTGTAACCCAACCATACAATGCAACCAACTACCTAATCTAAAACAACTACCAAATCTATCATAACTGTATATTATAAAATACTTACCTGAGCTTACAAAACCATCTCTTTAAAGCAAAAGCACAGTCTGCACAATAATTACCTCTCCCTGACTTGATAAAGCACAGAAGCTACCCAACCTAACTTGACCTGAGAGGCTAAGATGTCACATTTACTCATGCATCAAAGTGTGCACTTCTGTCCAACACAAACGAACAATTTAAATTCCCTTTCCATAAAACATTCTAATCTAAGAATATAAGCATGTGGTACACAAACGAATGTGTAACTACAGTATACCTTTACTATAATAAATAAAAGTGCAGTAAGTTGGCAAAATCCAACATTCCTAACTAGGTCAACTTTTCTTAACATAGCTATACCCTGTAACCAAATATTTAGTTTAAATCACAAACGTAACCCAATTCAACCAAATATGACTACTAAGCCCTAATTATGATTTTAAACTGTGTTTTTGAGTGGAGCGAGCTAGTATAGTACAGCTAACTAGTCGTTTTTATCGTGTCTAGTGCCGTAGGCTCCGACCTCCAGCGTTACTGGAGAAGCAATTAGGTGAGTTCAAGTAGACAAAATTTGACACAAAAGAAACAATAGTGAAAGTTAATGCAATGAACAACACGAAATTCATCAGCACTTTGACATGAGCCCTGCATTAAAAAGTCAGCCGTCATGTGAAAAACCGAATATTTCAAACGCACGATTTCCTTCACCTTTGAGAGATATTTTTGTCAAGAAGAGAAAATATACACGGTTTCCACAGGTTTCCTGAGCGAAAATTTTCTTGAAATTTCCCGTTCAAAGTTTGCATGAGATCCACGCGGTACTGTTAAGACATGAGGGTTTAATTTACCATGAGTTCATTGAAAATGAGCGATTTTGTAAAAAAAAAAAAAATACTCTCCGTCTTCTATCGTTTATTTTCAGTACACATAGAAACAATAGAACCCACTTCATCCCCAAAAATACTGTATGAATGCTCATCTAGGTGCAATGATCTGATCAAACTGTGTAAAAATTAAAATGAACACTGTAATATTATCCTCACCAGTGACATCTACTCCAAATTAAAAAAAAAACTTTTAATCTATTGGACCCCGATGGACCATTTTTCACCCGGATTACCACTTGCTCATCATACACCACTGCTTGTGGGACACCCTTTCTTTCCGCATTTTTCTTTTTAAAAAAACAGGGCATTCATGGAAAATACACTAGAACCTCTTTCAAGTCAGCCTCAGAGGGACCAACAAAAAAACTAGACTCAGAAAGTTTTTGAGTTAGACAACGCAGTATTTTTGAATGTGGAAAAATTACAGGAAGTTCTAGTTTGGTGCTCTTCTGGGCCTTAAACAGCCTCTCAAGTGAGTTTACAGGATGCTGCACTTGATGGCAATGGTACATTTGCCTAATTGATGACTCACTTAAATCTGAAAATGAGAAACTAACATTTTTATTGCTTTTCTCTTTTCTGGATCCCTTTTTATAGGAGACTTGAGAAATTTTAGCTTTTGAGGTTAAAGTAGGAAAGTCTTTGAATTGGAGAGGACTACATCAAAATTGTTCTCAAGAGGATTCATACCCAAACTAAACAAAAAGTTGACTAAGGGAGGTTCCAGTTAGTGCTGATGTGATGAGGCTCTGTCATTAAGTGATGTTGTTACGGTTTAACGGACTTCACGGGGTATAAGTTTAAACGTTTCTTCGTTTTTGGAAACCTTTGAAGAAAAGACTCAAGACTGTTTCAAAACAGGGAAAAAAAGGTGTTACAAGTAAAGCTCAGTTAACTTGAACTGTGCTTCTGAGTCCATCAGTTGAAATTTCTAAAAAAAAAAAAAAGAATAAAATGACTTTTATGCTTTTCATTATTATTTTCTAGACTTCCAAACCACCTTCTACCCAATTCATCCCCGAAAAACACACAGATTTTTCCCCCACAGATTTGTGGAAAAAAAAAACTGCTTCTAAAAGAGTGGTTCCCACAATTTGAAACTTGATGTAAAACCAAATAAAATCGCTGACTTCTTATTCAAGAAACACACACACACACAAGGAAATATTTTTCCGCAGCCGACCCCAAATGAGAAAAAAAAAATGCCGCCGCCACAATTTTCGCACATCCCGTTCGTCTACCGCCTCCCGCGGAAATGGTGGTCGTGGCGGTGGTGTAACGCACTGGGCCAACACTGAGCCACCAGCACCACGGCGTCCCTTTTCCGCCGACCGACTCGCAATACCCATAGGGGTGGGGGGTGGAGGGGAAAAATTGCGCAAAAACAGGCGGCAGTCGGGAAGGCGAAAGTAGGCCAAGGCTTGGATTCCCGTCGCGCCCGTTCGCCAACTAGGGCGCATAAAAACCAGGACAGGCCCCTCGAACGACGACGATGCCAGCCGTTATCAGAGGGGGAGGGCGGCGGTTGTCAGACGGCCGCCACTTTGGCGGCTGCGCTCTACTGTTATACACAGCATGAATGATGGAAGGTGCTGCTCTATTGTTGTGAAAAGAGAATGAGGCGCATTTGAGACACAAATTATTATTATTTTTTTCACTCCTGTAGTGTTTTTAGAGTTTTTTGTAAATTGTGCAATTTCTTTTTGCCATGAAATCACACAATGTAATTTGCCGGGGAAAAAAGACTGGGAGCATATATTTCAAATATACAATTGAACGTCATTGATTCAAATTTCGAGGGACCAGCAAAAAAAAAATATTGGAGTCCTCACTAAATTTTTTTTACCCAAGGGTCAACTAGGGTCAGCTTAATTTTTGGGTAGCTTTCAAACCTCCATAAGTGGAATTTTCTTCAAGTGCCAGACTAAATTCCCTCAGAAAACAATCGATTAGAAACAAAGGCTTTTCCTCTCGAGGCTCCAAAAGTCAAATTTAATTAGGCCTTTTGACAATTATTTTAAAATAAGTGAAAGACTGATAATTTTGCAAATGAACTTCAGCATCCACTCAACTCATTTAAGAAGCAATTTAACGCCCAGAATATCACCATTTAAAATTTCCTGCAATTCTTCCATGTTTCCCCACAACACAAAGATTTTGTTTGCTGCGCTCTACTGTTATACACAGCATGAATGATGGAAGGTGCTGCTCTATTGTTGTGAAAAGAGAATGAGGCGCATTTGAGACACAAATTATTATTATTTTTTTCACTCCTGTAGTGTTTTTAGAGGTTTTTGTAAATTGTGCAATTTATTTTTGCCATGAAATCACACAATGTAATTTGCTGGGGGAAAAAGACTAGGAGCATATATTTTGACAAATGAACGTCATTGAGTCAAATTTCAAGGGATCAGCAAAAAAAAATCTTGGAGTCCTCACTAAATTTTGTTTACCCAAGGGCCAACTAGGATCAGCTTAATTTTTGGGTAGCTCTCAAACCTCCATAAGTTGAATTTTCTTCAAGTACCAGACTAAATTTCCTCAGAAAACAATGAATTAGAAACAACGGCTTTTCCTCTCAAAGCTCCAAAAGTCAAATTTGATTAGGCCTTTTGACAATTATTTTAAAATAAGTGAAAGAAACTATTAAAACGTTTACTTGAAGTCGTAGGTGAGTTGAGTAAATTCTTCGTTAAATTGCGGGTCTTATAGTGGTAAATTTTAAAGGACGTTAAGAAGGTACAAAGGGGTGTTGTGTTTCTAAAACAATCTCCATCTAAAGCCCTCCTAAGTCATTTTTTTTTGCTGGTCCCTTGAAATTTGATTTAGAGAGGTTTGACTGTACAATTAACACACTCACTAAATTCATTGGCTCCAATTCTATCAGCAGGAGCAACCCTTCAGGCGCCCACCAGCAAGGGTGAAACAAACAGGAAAGAAAAACTAGTGCTGGGGTGAAAAGCAAGAACAGTGTACAGTATATGCTATCAGTAAATCAACTCAT